AATTCTATGTCCATAGTCTTGCAAACAAATTACAACTGCATTTGGTATTGATACAAAATAATAACTATATTCTGATTTGTTTTTGTTTTTTTGAAATCCTAAATATACAACACAGACATGCAACTCCACCTTTGGGAAAAATCAGCTGTGAGTTGGTATTATAAAAAAAGATACTAATTGAAAGCCTGATTTAATAATAGCTGGGAATCTTTGGGAACCTTTAATGGAGCTGGAACCAGTAACCCTCTTTCTGATGAGGAGGGTGGCAAACTACATGATTTCAATAGAACAACAGAAATTTGCAATGAACTGTGAGGGACAGGGGTGATGTTGAGGGGTACAGAGACATACATATACCTTCCCCAACGTATTAGTGCATTAAACATTGGACTCTAACACTTAATGCAGTTATGTTACAAGCAGAAACATTTAAGGAAACAGTTAGCAAGCACACAGGTTTGTAATGAAATAATGTCTAGATTCATTATATTTTCCACTTAATCTTGCTAAACTTAACTCGTTTATGCGTAAAGATATGTTCAATAAAGCCAAGGGTATCAAACCCATAGATTTTATTCTCTGAATTTCACTTAATTTTCGCATGTAATAATGGAGATAAATTCAATATAACGATCCTTTGTTTTGTTTTTGTTTATGGTGCTATCCTCTCGGTATCGTCTCTTGATAGTGACCTCTTTCCTCTCTGGTTTCGTGAGTAACCAGGCGACTGTATTGCCTCAGATTCATCTTCCGGTTCTTCCTCAGGTATAGGGACTAGGTAGGTTTCAGGGTCGGACTCGTAGCCAGTGGCTAGAAACATTAGTTTGGCCAATCAAACAGGACTTTAGTCAACAGGCTGAGACTTGACATGCACAATGTACAACCTAAACGTTTGACTATGTCCTAAACATGAAAAATCAACCAAGGTATTCAATGTATGGACCTAAGAACTGTAATTTATCTTGTGTCTATGTTAGAGTGATTACATGCACTCCTGCACTTAATGTTATTGAGAAAAATTAACCATATTGAACACATACCTCAAATAAAGATAAATACCAATACAAGTAATAAAGCTGGAATTGAATTTGTAACAAAACACTATGACAACATTGCCACTAGTCTCTAGCTCTTTCCTTTATCATTTTCCTACTCCTAAAACCCACTGAGGTATTAGACAACAAATGTCCCTCAGCAAATGAACTAATATATATATATATATATATATATATATATATATATATATATATACAGTGAGGGAAAAAAGTATTTGATCCCCTGCTGATTTTGTACGTTTTCCCACTGACAAAGACATGATCAGTCTATAATTTTAATGGTAGGTTTATTTGAACAGTGAGAGACAGAAAAACAACAAAAAAATCCAGAAAAACGCATGTCAAATATGTTATAAATTGATTTGCATTTTAATGAGGGAAATAGGTATTTGACCCCTCTGCAAAACATGACTTAGTACTTGGTGGCAAAACCCTTGTTGGCAATCACAGAGATCAGACGTTTCTTGTAGTTGGCCACTAGGTTTGCACACATCTCAGGAGGGATTTTGTCCCACTCCTCTTTGCAGATCTTCTCCAAGTCATTAAGGTTTTGAGGCTGACGTTTGGCAACTCGAACCATTAGCTCCCTCCACAGATTTTCCATGGGATTAAGGTCTGGAGACTGGCTAGGCCACTCCAGGACCTTAATGTGCTTCTTCTTGAGCCACTCCTTTGTTGCATTGGCCGTGTGTTTTGGGTCATTGTCATCCTGGAATACCCATCCACGACCCATTTTCAATGCCCTGGCTGAGGGAAGGAGGTTCTCACCCAAGATTTGACGGTACATGGCCCCGTCCATCGTCCCTTTGATGCGATGAAGTTGTCCTGTCCCCTTAGCAGAAAAACACCCCCAAAGCATAATGTTTCCACCTCCATGTTTGACGGTGGGTATGGTGTTCTTGGGGTCATAGGCAGCATTCCTCCTCCTCCAAACACGGCGAGTTGAGTTGATGCCAAAGAGCTCAATTTTGGTCTCATCTGACCACAACACTTTCACCCAGTTCTCCTCTGAATCATTCAGATGTTCATTGGCAAACTTAAGACGGGCCTGTATATGTGCTTTCTTGAGCAGGGGGACCTTGCGGGCGCTGCAGGATTTCAGTCCTTCACGGCGTAGTGTGTTACCAATTGTTTTTTTGGTGACTATGGTCCCAGCTGCCTTGAGATCATTGACAAGATCCTCCCGTGTAGTTCTGGGCTGATTCCTCACCGTTCTCATGATCATTGCAACTCCACGAGGTGAGATCTTGCATGGAGCCCCAGGCCGAGGGAGATTGACAGTTATTTTGTGTTTCTTCCATTTGCGAATAATCGCACCAACTGTTGTCACCTTCTCACCAAGCTGCTTGGCGATGGTCTTGTAGCCCCTTCCAGCCTTGTGTAGGTCTACAATCTTGTCCCTGACATCCTTGGAGAGCTCTTTGGTCTTGGCCATGGTGGAGAGTTTGGAATCTGATTGATTGATTGCTTCTGTGGACAGGTGTCTTTTATACAGGTAACAAACTGAGATTAGGAGCACTCCCTTTAAGAGCGTGCTCCTAATCTCAGCTCGTTACCTGTATGAAAGACTCATGGGAGCCAGAAATCTTTCTGATTGAGAGGGGGTCAAATACTTATTTCCCTCATTAAAATGCAAATGAATTTATAACATTATTGACATGCGTTTTTCTTTTTTGTTGCTATTCTGTCTCTCACTGTTCAAATAAACCTACCATTAAAATTATAGACTAATAATTTCTTTGTCAGTGGGCAAATGTACAAAATCAGCAGGGGATCAAATACTTTTTTTCCTCACTGTATATATACACACACTACCGTTCCAAAGTTTGGGGTCACTTAGAAATGTCCTTGTTTTCGAAAGAAAAGCAATTTTTTGGTCCATTAAAATAACATCAAATTGATCAGAAATACAGTGTAGACATTGTTAATGTTGTAAATGGCTGTTGTAGCTGGAAACGGCTGATCTTTAATGGAATATTATACAGGAGTAGGCCTCCTGTAGCTCAGTTGGTAGAGCATGGCCCTTGCAACACCAGGGCTGTGGGTTCAATTCCCACGGGGGGCCAGTATGAAAAATGTATGCACTCACTAACTGTAAGTTGCTCTGGATAAGAGCGTCTGCTAAATGACTAAAATGTAAAAATGAATATCTACATAGGTGTACAGAGGCCCATTATCAGCAACCATCAGTCCTGTGATCCAATGGCACGTTGTGTTTGCTAATCTAAGTTTATCATTTTAAAAAGCTAATTGATCATTAGAAAACCCTTTTGCAATTATGGTAGCACAGCTGAAAACTGCTGTGCTGATTACAGAAGCAACAAAACTGGCCTTCTTGAGACTAGTTGAGTATCTGCCATATCTCAGACTGGCCAATAAATAACCCGCTTTTTCGAAAGAAAATAGCTTTTCTTTCGAAAAAAACAAGGACATTTCTAAGTGACCCCAAACTGTTGAACGGTATTGTATGTACAGTGCCTTCGGAAAGTATTCACACCCCTTCACTTTTTCCACATTTTGTTACTTTACAGCCTTATTCTAAAATTGATTAAATATATATTTTTTTCGTCAATCTACACACAATACCTCATAATGACAAACCGAAAACAGGTTTTTAGACATTTTAGCAAATTTATTAAAAATTAAAAACAGAAATACCTTATTTACGTTAGTATTCAGACCCTTTGCTATGAGAATCGAAATTGAGCTCAGGTGCATCCTTTTTCCATCGATCATCCTTGAGATGTTTCTACAACTTGATTGGAATCCACCTGTGGTAAATTCAATCTAAAAACCTATTTTTGCTTTGTCATTATGGGGTATTTTGTGTAGATTGATGAGGGGAAAAAACAATTGAATCCATTTTAGAATAAGGCTGTAACGTAACAAAATGTGGAAAAAGTCAAGGGGTCTGAGTACTTTCTGAATGCACTGTAAATATATATAGAAGAAAATGGCAGGAAAATAACATTTAGCATAGATTAGGCAAACATACAAAGAACATCATGATTAAATGTACAAATGTCACATGCTTCGGTTTGGACCGGAGCACAAGCTGTGTAAATCACAGGCCTCATACTGTAATAAAACAGAGGTTATGTTGGCAGTAAGTCAGTAAGAAGCGGGTTATAAGGCACAAGCTCAATAAAGATATTAACTGGTTTTAGTGGATTGTGTGGTTCAAACATCATTTACAAGGCACAATTAGTCTATTTACAGATATCACCTCTACGTCAACATGTTAACACTTGTTCTTTTGTTATGAGATCCACTTTGTTAGTAGTTTTTGGTTTGTTTGTTTATTACAAGCTCCTTCCCGCGTAGAGAAGCACGCTCTCTCTGTTTGCTGGGGTTTGGTTCAAGATGCAAACAGGCCAGTAGGGTTGCCATCCCTGCAGCTTGTCTGATAGTAGCTGTGAAGTGGTGTTAGTGCCAGTCCACTCCTTTCTGTCTCGTTTTTGGGTTTTTAACATCGTTCATTAGTTATGTCCCCGGTGGTTACCCTTAAGGGCTCATTAGCCAGTGAGCTAACATCTCAGAAACAGGACTGTAAGCAGCACAGGCAGCATAGAGTGTTTACTAGGACCGACCTGAAAACAGTTCAAACAGGGGGTTAGATCTCTCTGTTGCAGAAAGTTATTTGCCATTTCTATTTCTACTTGGCAGTGTTTAACATGCTATTATGAATATCCACTCTATAACAAACATATTGAGACCTTGGAAGTAAAGGGTTCATAATGTTGTCAAAAGTGGGTTGTGGGGACAAAAATAAGTCCACTGGTCAATTTGCATAAAGTTTTGTTTACAACGGCATTTTGTTTAGAACCCTTGAAACCCATGTCTCCATACATTGAACCAGAGCAGAAAGTATAAAGTTGTAAATAAATTAGTGTGCATACGTTCCATTCACTATGCATTCAGCTATCCTGCCATGCAGATTGGGATTCAGTCAGTCGTGGACATACCTGGGTAACCTTGTCCATTGTAAGGAATGCCAACACACTGGGAGGAGTCACAGTAGCCAGGGGGCCCAGGTGGTCCCCTCACTCCTGGGGTTCCCTGGCGACCAGGAGGGCCCCGAGGCCCAGTAGAGCCCGTAGTACCTGTGGCGCCGGTTCGAGCCTCGCCTGGTGGCCCTGGGAGTAGGGAGAGTGAGGTGGGGTATGGAAAATAATTCAGGAATAGTCAGACTCAGAATGAAAACTCCCTGACATCACCCTTAAATCCCAACTGGAAGTGGAGGGGGGACTATTGGTTTCTACCACTGTAATTTCAATATTTAGACGGCTCAATTAAAAGTCTGATAAAAAGTGAGCCAGTCAGGGCTCTGGGGAGTTACCCCCTGCCCCAGTCTGTCTAGACAGTACAAACAAAGGATGGAATTTCCTCCACTCTCTCACTCTCTCTTGCTCTTTGCTCTCTTAAGTGAGCACATGTGTTGTCAATGAAGGAGCCACCAAAGCAACGCTCATTGTACAACAATCTGATTCTCCCACTCAACAATGAGTCATCATCGCTAGCTAACTAGCTTCCTCCTACAGGAGTTTAGTAGTGTCTTACTTCATTCAGAGAAACAGACTTGGCAGTGTTCGATAGGACGGGGGAAGTAGACATCATGTATAGCCTGATATTTCCACTAGCCCCCCTACCCCTTGTGATAGGAAAGCTTCTAGGGACTCAGGGCCTTCACATGCTGAATATCAATTAAAGGTGGATGTTATGTTAAAGGGACCTCCATGAAGACAGCATAATATCAACAGTGAATAAGACGGCTATTAGAGACTAATCCTCAGCCATTTCTAGAATGGGTTTGGGATCACTGATGAATGAGAGGTTGGGGTAACATTGTTTTGATAAGAGAAGATAGCAGCTATAATGCATAATGTTACATCCTTCATCCAGAAATAGACCTTGGCTCTCAATTCCTTTGATGTATTGTATGTTGATCAAGAGGAACTTTAAGTCCCATGGCAAATGTGTGAACACATCTGTGTGGACCAATCCTGTGAAAAATAAGCATAAATTCTCTCTAGAAAGGAGAAGTGTTTTGCTGGGAATTCGTTTGACCGTTCACTAAGAATTTATGAAGCACAGCTGCCCAAACGAAGGTTCATGAGACACATCTAGGTAAATCTTGGCCTGCCCCTCGGGTCTGTCATTTATATTGCACTGGGAGAAGTTCTAAAAGTCACAAAGAGAGGTCCAAGGATAGGATGTAGAAAAAAATGGCTACCATGGTGAAACAAGTTAAGAACTGTAGATCAGGAAGTAGTGATTAGGAACCTTCTGTCTCCAGCTGTTGAGCACAACCATTTACAGTTAGTATGCAGGAAGATTCTTATGTTCCATACCTTGTTGTTAAGGTATATGAGGCAAATTACAGAGTCAGGGGCTTCCGTTAATGGTCTCTGTTTTCTTGTGAGACGGGAGACCTTGGCAGAGGCATACAGTGAGGGAAAAAAGTATTTGATCCCCTGCTGATTTTGTACGTTTGCCCACTGACAAAGAAATTATCAGTCTATAATTTGAATGGTAGTTTAATTTGAACAGTGAGAGAAAGAATAACAACAACAAAATCCAGAAAAACGCATGTCAAAAATGTTATAAATTGATTTGCATTTTAATGAGGGAAATAAGTATTTGACCCCCCTCTCAATCAGAAAGATTTCTGGCTCCCAGGTGTCTTTTATACAGGTAACGAGCTGAGATTAGGAGCACACTCTTAAAGGGAGTGCTCCTAATCTCATTTTGTTACCTGTATAAAAGACACCTCTCCACAGAAGCAATCAATCAGATTCCAAACTCTCCACCATGGCCAAGACCAAAGAGCTCTCCAAGGATGTCAGGGGACAAGATTGTAGACCTACACAAGGCTGGAATGGGCTACAAGACCATCGCCAAGCAGCTTGGTGAGAAGGTGACAACAGTTGGTGCGATTATTCGCAAATGGAAGAAATACAAAATAACTGTCAATCTCCCTCGACCTGGGGCTCCATGCAATATCTCACCTCGTGGAGTTGCAATGATCATGAGAACGGTGAGGAATCAGCCCAGAACTACACGGGAGGATCTTGTCAATGATCTCAAGGCAGTTGGGACCATAGTCACCAAGAAAACAATTGGTAACACACTACGCCGTGAAGGACTGAAATCCTGCAGCACCCGCAAGGTCCCCCTGCTCAAGAAAGCACATATACAGGGCCATCTGAAGTTTGCCAATGAACATCTGAATGATTCAGAGGAGAACTGGGTGAAAGTGTTGTGGTCAGATGAGACCAAAATGGAGCTCTTTGGCATCAACTCAACTCGCCGTGTTTGGAGGAGGAGGAATGCTGCCTATGACCCCAAGAACACCATCCCCACCGTCAAACATAGAGGTGTAAACATTATGCTTTGGGGGTGTTTTTCTGCTAAGGGGACAGGACAACTTCATCGCATCAAAGGGACGATGGACGGGGCCATGTACTGTCAAATCTTGGGTGAGAACCTCCTTCCCTCAGCCAGGGCATTGAAAATGGGTCGTGGATGGGTATTCCAGCATGACAATGACCCAAAACACACAGCCAAGGCAACAAAGGAGTGGCTCAAGAAGAAGCACATTAAGGTCCTGGAGTGGCCTAGCCAGTCTCCAGACCTTAATCCCATAGAAAATCTGTGGAGGGAGCTGAAGGTTCGAGTTGCCAAACGTCAGCCTCGAAACCTTAATGACTTGGAGAAGATCTGCAAAGAGGAGTGGGACAAAATCCCTCCTGAGATGTGTGCAAACCTGTTGGCCAACTACAAGAAACGTCTGACCTCTGTGATTGCCAACAAGGGTTTTGCCACCAAGTACTAAGTCATGTTTTGCAGAGGGGTCAAATACTTATTTCCCTCATTAAAATGCAAATCAATTTATAACATTTTTGACAGGCGTTTTTCTGGATGTTTTTGTTGTTATTCTGTCTCTCACTGTTCAAATAAACCTACCATTAAAATTATAGACTGATCATGTCTTTGTCAGTGGGCAAATGTACAAAATCAGCAGGGGATCAAATACTTTTTTCCCTCACTGTAGCTGTGAAATGGGTTATTGTACATGAGAAGTGAGGAGTGATGGCCGAGATCTTACCAGGGGGACCACTGAGTCCTCTCTGTCCTCTCTGTCCTGTTCCAGGGGATCCTCTCTCTCCCTTCTCTCCTGGCATCCCTGCAACAGCACAATCAGATACACAGGCAACAGGTTATTAGCAATGACAAAAGGTCACATTGTACAGCCCCATGTATCTGTCAAATAAAATATTTAAAAACCACAAATGAGCATGTCTGAGGATGGAGTAAATTGTAGCATGGATCAGATTTACTGTAGGAAGTGAAGCCTATTCCCCCTCAGGAGACTGAAAAGATTTGGCATGGGTCCTCAGATCCTCAAAAAGTTATACAGCTGCACCATCGAGAGCATCCTGACTGGTTGCATCACCGCCTGGTATGGCAACTGCTACAGAGGGTAGTGCGTACGGCCCAGTACATCACTGGGGTCAAGCTTCCTGCCATCCAGGACCTCTATACCAGGCGGTGTCAGAGGAAGGCCCTCAAAATTGTCAAAGACTCCAGCCACGCTAATCATAAACTGTTCTCTCTGCTACCGCACGGCAAGCGGAACAGGAGCGCCAAGTCTAGGTCCAAAAGGCTTCTCAACAGCTTCTACCCCCAAACCATAAGACTCCTGAACAGCTAATCATGGCTACCCAGACTATTTGCACTGCCCCCCATCCCCACCCCATCTTTTTACGCTGCTGCTACTCTGTTAATTATTTATGCATAGTCACTTTAACTATACCCACATGTACATATTACCTCAACTACCTCAACTAGCCGGTGCCCCCGCACATTGACTCTGCACCGGTACCCCCCTGTATATAGCCTCCCTACTGTTATTTTATTTTACTTCTGCTCTTTTTTTCTCAACACTTTTTTGTTGTTGTTGTTAAATTTCACTTTTTATTAAAAAATAAATGCATTGTTGGTTAAGGGCTGTAAGTAAGCATTTCACGGTAATGTCTACACCTGTTGTATTCGGCGCATGTGGCAAATAAAAATTGATTTGATGGCAGATGACCATCAATTATTTACATGATGTCATGAACTCTATATTTTTAGACTAGATGTGGTTATGCACAATTGCTTGCAATCGAAACTGCCATTTGATCTTTGTGCTCCTGTCATTATTTAATTGTACCATTGTTGTAAAAGTTGCAATGCTACTCCAGGCTCAAAGAACAGACCAACCGTTATCCTAGGATGTTACATAGGATAAACAAGAGGACCGTGTCCTGTCATAACTTAAAGTTTTGCATCTCTGATAGGTTGTAATTTACTTTCTAGCCATACAAAAACAAACAGGAAGTAATAAAACAGGCCAAAAAACATAAACACATAAACGGCACACTATCACAATCACCTCTCTCTCCTTGGTTTCCAGGTAAGCCGGGGTTTCCAGGGAAACCGTTTCGGCCAGTCTGTCCAGGTTCTCCACGAGGACCCGTGTTGCCTGCGGGACCAGGGGGGCCTGCAGGGCCCGGGTTGTTGCTAGAGTAACCGGTGGGGATCTGGTTGATCATATTATTAATTCTGCTCATTTGACCTGAGAGGAATTAATGAAGATATGATCAAGGCACATCGCAAAATCACATAGATGGTTTATTTGTGTACATTGTATGTGTGTGTAGGTGTACCCAACCAATGCTAGTTTATGAAGGTCTAGATAGGAACTCACTATTCACAAGCTGTTCACAAACTTGTCTGGCAATGGAGCGCATCAGATTCTGAGATGCAAAGTCTCCCTGGAAAACAAACACATTTTGGTGAGACAAGGTTATGCTACTCTGAGAAGTTATGAAGTGACTAAAGCAGGGGTCGACTACAGGTGTCCGGCTGGGCAAAACAAAAGCACCTCCCAACGTTTTTAGGATTTTAGTTTTTGGTCAAAATATGACTAAAATCACCAGGAATTCAGCTAAAAATGAGTTTCATTTAGGAAATCTGTTCACCAAGTATTCCCACTAATAAAAAAAGAGATGTGATCGTATCTCCATGTAATTAAGGTATAAAATGGTTGTTATTTTCAAATACAACCTATTTTGGGCCTTAGTTGTGGTCAATTTGCAGTATACAAATTATTATACTTATGTTCCAGCCCACTGAACATCGGCTCTGACAAAAAATCAGCCCGCGGCTGAATCTAGTTGCCTAGCCCTGGACTAAAGGATACAGTACATACCCTCTCTCCCTTTTCTCCTTTTATTCCAGCCAATCCCTGTGAAAAAGAGGAAACATGGATGTTCTCAATAACAAGAATGCCATTCATTTGTATGAGATTTGCAACAAAGCACCACAAATACACTATGAAATAGGAAGTTGGTTAACGTTTTCCAATTTAATCGAATGAGGTGGGATGATTGAAGACACTCTTTGAAGAGGTAGAATTTCAGATGTTTTTGGAAGATGGCTAGGGGCTCTGCTGACCTTGATGAAACATACATCATCACCATATGACCCCTTGTATTTGTACATACTGGGTTTCCTGTGTCTCCTGGTTTTCCTGGGCTTCCTGTGTTTCCTGGTGAACCCGGAGATCCTGGACTTCCCTGGATGATGAGAAGATGGACAGCGTTATTGTTACATCATCTTACCAAAGTTACCCAGCAGTAAACATAAGGACAACAACCACTCCTGGTCTCAGTTAAATAGCCTGTTGTATAATAGGGACCAGCCCTATACTGAGATGTACATCCACAGTCAAGGCACCACTTGGTATACTGTGCCAAGAACATATAAAGGACAACGCCACCCAAAAACTATATTTTGGTATTCGTTTCATTATCGGCTGTATTTCCATACTTTGAAAGTTATATATCTTGAAAACTTGATTGCAGACAAGCAAAACATTTTGGGACTATATCAACAATGGAATAATGAAACAGATAGATGTGGAATTTTCCTTTAAGTGGGTAGAAACACTCCCAACAGGGATGGGATGCTTAATGGACCTCAGAGCAGACCGAATGGTAAAGTAGGCTATATATGAATGGCATGCTGGCCCTCTGCCTATTGGTATGGTGTGGCCATTAACTAGAGGCAGGCCTCAATCATAGTAGAGAGAATGAGATGCATGCTTTATCCTTATTACTGACTGAAGGACTGAGTTTGTCTGTGTTTTGACCACGTCTCCTAGCTACAGTACTCACCATCGGTCCTGTTGGACCTCTAGGTCCCGATGGTCCTTCCTTCCCTGGTGGTCCCTGGGAAGAGAAGATAGCCAATCACAAACAGGCAGCAATAACAGTTGGCATTAAGTTGTTTTTGTGTTAAAGGTATGTTGTCAACATTAACTTTATTTCTGTATATATGTACTGTACGTTTTATGGTGCTGTAAAACTGGTGGTGCTTCCAAGAGATGGGACTAAAAAAATTCAGTGAAATAAACCAGGACCTCTCTAATCTCTGTAGTGTGTTATACTGCGCCATTCTAATGGAGCCCAACGACATCATCTGACATGCACCAGAATACTAGGAGCACACAACAGTTTAGCTGCACACGTTGAGTTAAGTAGGTGATCACATGCACACGTGCTTAAGTAGGTGCTGGCTAGATTCATGGCCTTTCAACAGGGCCTGTACACTGAGCAGCTCTGTGTAGAGCCCCAGAGAGGCTGATCTTACCCTCACTCCACCTGGTCCAACAGGACCCATAGGACCAGCAGCACCAGCAGAACCCTGCAGGAACACAACACACTCAATCAAACTCTGATAACCAGTAATAACACACACATCGGACCAAATGGCCCAAAATTGCCTTTTCATATTGCCAGAAATGACACTTACTAGTTTTACTCTGTAATAACTGGTCTCTAGTTTCCTTGTGATTTAGTGAGAAAATGATAGACTTCTCTGATGCAACTTAGTGCCAGTACATTAGGATACTTGATTTGGGTTGTTGAAATGCATGTTGTTAGCAGGAGCTTTCGACAGCCAAGGCTGCTATAGTCATAACATCTTAATGCGATGAGAGATTCTCAATGAAATTATTCTCAAGTATTATTAACATCACAGGGTAATTGTTAGGATTCAGGGGCGTCTCATATTCCCAAAGTAAAGTCGTCCTTGATGGGGGTGAGTGATTCTCAACTAAATGATGCTCATTATTGACGTCACAGGATAATCCCTCCAATCTTTGAAATCCAGGGGCCGGTCATTCAGCACTGGGGAAAGGGTTCTACATGGAACCAAATAGGGTTCTTCAAATGGTTATCCTATGGGGACAGCCGAATAACCCTTTTAGGTTCTAGATAGCACCTTTTTTTCTAGGAGTGTAGTCTACAATTCCCTTTTTTTAGCCATGACTATAGGGTTTACAGTATAGGGTTTACAGTATAGGGTTTACAGTTGCAGGACAGTAGTGGAACATGTACAGTCGTGGTCAAAAGTTTTGAGAATGACACAAGTATTGGTCTTCACAAAGTTCGCTGCTTCAGTGTTATGAGATATTTTTGTCAGATTTTACTATGGAATACTGAAGTATAATTACAAGCATTCCATAAGTGTCAAAGGCTTTTATTGACAATTACATTAAGTTTATGCAAAGAGTCAATATTTGCAGTGTTGACCCTTCTTTTTCAAGACCTTTGCAATCCGCCCTGGCATGCTGTCAATTAACTTCTGGGCCACATCCTGACTGATGGCAGCCCATTCTTGCATAATCAATGCTTGGAGTTTGTCAGAATTTGTGGGTTTTTGTTTGTCCACCTGCCTCTTGAGGATCGACCACAAGTTCTCAATGGGATTATGGTCTGGGGTGTTTCCTGGCCAAAATGTAGATGTTTTGTTCCCCGAGCCACATAGTTATCACTTTTGCCTTATGGCAAGGTGCTCCATCATGTTGGAAAAGGCATTGGTTGTCACCAAACTGTTCTTGGTTCTTGGATGGTTGGGAGAAGTTGCTTTCGGAGGATGTGTTGGTACCATTCTTTATTCATGGTTGTGTTCTTAGGCAACATTGTGAGTGAGCCCACTCCCTTGGCTGAGAAGCAACCCCACACATGAATGGTCTCAGGATGCTTTACTGTTGGCATGACACAGGACTGATGGTAGCGCTCACCTTGTCTTCCCCTGGACAAGGTGTTTTCCGGATGCCCCAAACAATCGGAAAGGGGATTCATCAGAGAAAATGACTTTACCCCAGTCCTCAGCAATCCAATCCCTGTACCCTTTGCAGAATATCAGTCTGTCCCTGATGTTTTTCCTGGAGAGAAGTGGCTTCTTTGCTGCCATTCTTGACACCAGGCCATCCTCCAAAAGTCTTCGCCTCACTGTGCGTGCAGATGCACTCACACCTGCCTGCTGCCATTCCTGAGCAAGCTCTGCACTGGTGGTGCCCCGATCCCGCAGCTGAATCAACTTTAGGAGACGGTCCTGGTGCTTGCTGGACGTTCTTGGGCACCCTGACGCCTTCTTCACAACAATTGAACCTCTCTCCTTGAAGTTCTTGATGATCCGATAAATGGTTGATTTAGGTGCAATATTACTAGCAGCAATATCCTTGCCTGTGAAGCCCTTTTTGTGCAAAGCAATGATAACGGTACGTGTTTCCTTGCAGGTAACCATGGTTAACAGAGGAAGAACAATGATTTCAAGCACCACCCTCCTTTTAAAGCTTCCAGTCTGTTATTCTAACTCAATCAGCATGACAGAGTGATCTCCAGCCTTGTCCTCGTTAACACTCTCACCTGTGTTAACGAGAGAATCACTGACATGATGGCAGCTGGTCCTTTTGTGGCAGGGCTGAAATGCAGTGGAAATGTTTTTTGGGGATTAAGTTCATTTTCATGGCAAAGAGGAACTTTGCAATTAATTGCAATTCATCTGATCACTCTTCATGACATTCTGGAGTATATGCAAATTGCCATCATCAAAACTGAGGCAGCAGACTTTGTGAAAATTAGTATTTGTGTCATTCTCAAAACTTTTGACCACGACTGTACAGTTCATATTAATCCTCTATTCCCATTGGCAACACTATTCTGTGCCCCATGATAGCTTAACTGCACCACTGGCCTTCCACTGTCAATCAGCAGGTTGCTTGGAGTGTATACCCCACTCTGGGGACTTCATGGTCTACCTCCCACTTTGAATGTGGTTTCAGCGTTGCCATGTGGACAGATTCCAGGCTCCAGTAGCACTGTTTCTCTCTGTGGATCGTCTCTGGTTTCTTGTTGAAAACCACAGCTAATGAAAAAGAGAGCTGTACTCACTTTCAGCCCAGTCAGGCCTGAGTCTCCGGGATCTCCCTTTGGTCCGGGACGGCCCTGGGAAGACGAAGGGAAGGATTGGTTTAGAGCTGGAGTACAAAGGGAACTCCAACCCTGAACAACTACAGATCTCTTTCTCTTGCTGACGTAGTCTGTCACTGAGAGTGAATTTACATCCCATCTTTAGGAGGATGTCTAGGAATAAATAAGGTCTTCTTAACGCATAGTGACTGTGTGTGTAAATCATACGTCAGGGAGGACATCCTACAGTCCCCCACACTGTAAATCCCTAAGAACATTGCAGATGACTTACAGGTTCTCCAGGCAGAGACAAGCCGTTAGGGCCTTGTGGACCTGGAGGTCCGGATGGTCCTGGAAGTCCTTGTTCTCCACGGGGGCCCATTGAACCCTATGGTAGAAGAATGACAAAACCAAACAGTCACACTAATACTAAACTATTTACACCATATCTCCCTGTAGACCTCCCCACTGCTTTCCACAGCAGGGCTGAGAGAATGAGAAGGAACCAGAACAATCAGTGACTGTTGGTGAGAAATATGTTATATTTCTCATCAGACCTCTCAACACAGACCTCCTTAAATCAAGCTGGGGGAAAATAAACATGACAAATCAAGCAGATAATTATACAGTACATTCAATAAGTGAGTTCAGATGTGAGAAATCTGTTTTGTCTGATTGGGCATGCTAATGGTATCTGCTTTGAGATCACTACTGCATTAGACTGAACTCTGATTTACTGTAAATGCATTAGGCCTTGGACTGTATCCCAGCTCACTAGGATATGGCTTGATTTAAAGTTGGATTCAGGCTTGGACCACACATCCATAATATCCTATTAATCACTCTCGATCCAAGTGTGTGTTAAATGGCTTGATTACTTACAGTTGGGCCTGAGTCTCCTCTCTCTCCTCTGGGTCCTTTAGTACCTGGTCCACCCTGAGAAAGTCAAGAAAGGATGAGAGACAGAGTCAAAGACAGAGTCTGAGCCATCCCCACAACAGGAGCTGCTTACAGACCTAAACCCCAAGCCAGCAGGAATCCCCACAGGGGCTTAGAGAGGTTGCGGAGTGAAGAAAACATATTCCAGATTTCCTGTTTTTACGATGGGCATTTATCTTTTGACACATCCCTAAGCCTGATAGTCCACACCTCATCGCACACCATTAATCTCATCCCCATCTATTTTGTTTTCCATGGAAAGAAACACAGATACTCACATGATGTCCCCACTCTAATATCCACATGCTTAATCTATAGAACAGGGTAACAGTTATGAGGAGAAAAATACCCCTGCAACACTATTCCTATTATCCAGGTTGGATATGTCCACATCATCATAGTGGGGACTGAGAGTGACATCATCATCACATTAGTGAGTAGAGAGAGAGCTTTGCCACCAGGCGAGGACAGACGGAGGGATGGTTAATGTCTTTACCGAGGGGCCGGGTGGTCCCGGAGGGCCAACGCTGTCCTGTGCACATGTGCAGGCGTGGGGAAGAGCCGGGCATTTAAGCTCATCTCTCTGCAGTAGAGAAAGGAAGTTGATGGCGAAAGAAAGAAAGTCAATAAGAATGTTTATTTTTTACTTTACTGAAATACAACATTAATAGTATGTCCATCTCTTGACATCTGTTGGCCTTTCTGCTAACCCACAGAATACAACAAGTGCAGATAGGAGTATCTGTGATGAAAATGAGAGCCACTGCTCTGGCAACCCAAACCATAAAATGGTGCATTGAAGTTTCTTCTAGGAAACACATTAGAAAGGCTGCTAAAGCCATTATAAAACTGGGGTGAATTCTGAAATATGACTGCTACCATAGCATGGCCTACACACAAATACTCTTTGACAACAAAAAATCCATCTGTTTTTCATGGAAGGGAATACAGTATGTGACATCTTACACAACTCAATATTCATTGACATGATATATTAATATCTCATGCAAATTACATTGAGAGAGAGATCGAGATGGGTAATTGGCTATAGTCAAGTACATAACATGTATCCAGTAATAAACATACCATAGATGGTTACAATGATTTATCTGTCTACCACATGATCAAAGGGACCAGTTGTTTTGGTGGGGTTGGGATTGTAAAACTGTACTGAGATTAGTCCAATTAGCGAGAAATGCAATGGTCTATTCATGCCTGACTGTTTTGCCAGCTAGGCATCAGACATAATGGCTATACAGCATGTGCACACTTAAACATTAGGAATGACATATAAACTCTAAAATAACATGCAAGACTCAATGGCTCTCTTAACATATAGTAAGTGCTCAATGGTATATAGTGAAAGATGAGCAGAGTCAATGTGCCAAGGCTTGATGGTACTGTACAGGTATGAGGCCTTACTAGAGGGCCGTCTACAGTGAAGCTGCTCTTACCGTGGCCGGGAGGTCACAGCATTTGTCTCTGCTGGTCCAGCTCAAGCTGCATACAATATCAAACATCTGGAGCTGGAACTGCACAACAGAACAGAAAGATGAGAGAAGAGAGAGACGAACACAGATGGGCGTTACACATGGCTTCCATTGAGCTCCAGCGTTCAGGACTTAGAAACAACATGGCTCCAGACGCAGGCCAGAACCCACAGAGAGCTGGAACACAGATAGCATGATAGAACAAGACAGAGAGAGCAGCGTCTTTCATCCCTTTAACAATGACCGTGAGTTGTCAGCTCTAAATTGAGCATCAACACATGAGGAGCACATCTGGGCACTTTGCACATCACAGTTCACACCAACAGCTTGTGTGTGAGTGAGGGATGCATTTTATTAATTAAGTGTTGTAACTGTTTCACTCACTGTAGCCGACTCTCTCTTTGATCCTCCTGACTTCGCCATCTTGCCCAGCACTTCATAGCCGTCTGTGGAGATGTTGTTGGCCTCCTTGATGGGTTTCTCTGCAACCTCTTGGCAGTCCACGTTCAGTTTGACCCTCTCGGGAGAGACACTGATGTGAAGCTTTAGGAGGAGGAGAAGGAGGAGGAGGAGGAGAAGGAGGAGGAGGAGAAGGAGGAGGAGGAGAATAGGATTATTAGTTAAGACCACTCTAGTCTTCTCAATATGAACAACAACAGCAACAATATTTTGACATCATGGCTTGGCAAAGAGTACTGAAAGACTTCAGTGTTTTTGACATGGTATTTCTGCAATAAAAGAGAGCCTCTCTCTCCTATGGAGAGGCATGTTTGTCCTTTGAAATAAAAGCACAATTCTTCAGGTGTCTTGTACCATAAACTAAGAACCCAGTTGATGCAACAAATATTGTGGTTAAATAATGCAACAAATATTGTGGTTAAACTCAAATATACTAATTGATAAAAAAACATTATTTACTTTTGCAAGGCATTACCTCACTAACCAACAAGAATATTACTGGAAAATTAAGATTCACGGAAATGTCAGTGTCCTTCACCGAGACTCATCATTTCAAATCAAATCAAATTTTATTTGCCAATGCCCAGAATACAACAGGTTTAGACCTTATAGTGAAATGCTTACTTACAAGCCCTTAACCAACAATGCAGTTTTAAGAAAAAAAATTGCTAAGTAAAAAAATAAAATAAAAAAATAATTAAAGAGCAGCAGTAAAATAAATTAACAGCAAGGAGGCTATATACAGGGGGTGCCGGTTCAGAGTCAATGTGCGGGGGCACCGGTTAGTCGAGGTAATTGAGGTAATATCTACATGTGGGTAGAGTTAAAGTGACTATGCATAGATAATAAACAGAGTATCAGCAGCGTAAAAGAGGGGGTGGGGTGGGGTGAGGTGGGGGGGACAATGCAAACAGTTCGGGTAGCCATGATTAGCTGTTCAGGAGTCTTATGGCTTGGGGGTAGAAGCTGTTAAGAAGCCTTTTGGACCTAGACTTGGGGTTCCGGTACCACTTGCCGTGCGGTAGCAGAGAGAACAGTCTATGACTAGGGTGGATGGAGTCGCTGACAATTTTTAGGGCCTTCCTTTGACACCGTCTGGTATAGAGGTCCTGGATGGCAGGAAGCTTGGCCCCAGTGATGTACTGGGCCGTATGCACTACCCTCTGTAGTGCCTTGTGGTCGGAGGCCGAGCAGTTGCCATACCAGGCGGTGATGCAACCAGTCAGGATGCTCTCGAAGGTGCAGCTGTATAACTTTTTGAGGATCTGAGGACCCATGGCGAATCTTTTCAGTCTCCTGTGGGGGAATAGGTTTTGTCGTGCCCTCTTCACGACTGTCTTGGTGTGTTTGGACCCAAATAGTTTGTTGGTGATGTGGACACCAAGGAACTTGAAGCTCTCAACCTGCTCCACTACAGCCCTGTCAATGAGAATGGGGGCGTGCTCAGTCATCTTTTTTTTCCCTGTAGTTCACAATCATCTCCTTTGTCTTGATCACATTGAGGGAGAGGTTGTTATCCTGACACCACACAGCCAGGTCTCTGACCTCCTCCCTATAGGCTATCTCATTGTTGTCGGTGATCAGGCCTACCACTGTTGTGTCGTCGGCAAACTTAATGATGGTGTTGGAGTCGTGCCTGGACATGCAGTCATGGGTGAACAGGGAGTACAGGAGGGGACTGACCACGCACCCCTGAGGGGCTCCTGTGTTGAGGATCAGCGTGGCAGATGTGTTGTTACCTACCCTTACCACCTGGGGGCGGCCCGTCAGGAAGTCCAGGATCCAGTTGTAGAGGGAGGTCTTTAGTCCCAGGGTCCTTAGCTTAGTGAAGAGCTTTGAGGGCACTATGGTGTTGAACGCTGAGCTGTAGTCAATGAATAGCATTCTCACGTAGGTGTTCCTCTTGTCCAGGTGGGAAAGGGAAGTGTGGAGTGCAATAGAGATTGCATCATCTGTGGATCTGTTGGGGCGGTATGCAAATTAGAGTGTGTTTAGTGTTTCTGGGATAATGGTGTTGATGTGAGTCATGACCAGCCTTTCAAAGCACTTCATGGCTACAGACGTGAGTGCTACAGGTCGGTAGTCATTTAGGCAGGTTATCTTAGTGTTCTTGGGCACAGGGACTATGGTGTTCTGCTTGAAACATGTTGGTATTACAGACTCAGTCAGGAACATGTTGAAAATGTCAGTGAAGACACTTGCCAGTTGGTCAGCGCATGCTCGGAGTACACGTATTGGTAATCCGTCTGGCACTGCGGTCTTGTGAATGTTGATTTGCTTAAAAGTCTTACTCACATCGGCTACGGAGAGCATGATCACATAGTCATCCGGAACAGCTGATGCTCTCATGCATGCTTCAGCGTTGCTTGCCTTGAAGCGATTATAGAACTGATTTAGCTCGTCTTGTAGGCTCGTGTCACTGGGCAGCTCACGGCTGTGCTTCCCTTTGTAGTCTGTAATAGTTTGCAAGCCCTGCCACATCCAACGAGTGTCGGAGCCGGTGTAGTATGATTCAACCTTAGTCCTGTATTGACTCTTTGCCTCTTTGATGGTTCGTATGAGGGCATAGCGGGATTTCTTATAAGCATCCGGGTTAGAGTCCCGCTCCTTGAAAGCGGCAGCTCTACCCTTTAGCTCAATGCGGATGTTGCCTGTAATCCATGGCTTCTGGTTGGGGTATGTACATACGGTCAATGTGGGGACGACGTCATCGATGCACTTATTGATGAAGCCAGTGACTGATGTGGTGTACTCCTCAATGCCATCAGAAGAATCCCGGAACATATTCAGTTTGTGCTAGCAAAACAGTCCTGTAGCTTAGCATCTGCGTCATCTGACCACTTCCTTATTAACCGAGTCACTGGTGCTTCCTGCTTTAGTCTTTGTTCATAAGCAGGAATCAGGAGGATAGAATTATGGTCAGATTTGCCAAATGGAGGGCGAGGGAGAGCTTTGTACGTGTCTCTGTGTGGGGAGTAAAGGTGGTCTAGAGTTTTTTTCCCTCTGGTTGCACATTTAACATGCTGGTAGAAATTAGGTAGAACGGATTTAAGTTTCCCTACATTAAAGTCCCCGGCCACTAGGAGCGCTGCCTCTGGATGAGCGTTTTCCTGTTTGCTGATGGCCTTATACAGCTCATTGAGTGCAATCTTAGTGCCAGTAAATAGTGTGGTCTACAGCTTATCATGAGATCCTCTACCTCAGGCGAGCAAAACCTCGAGACTTTCTTAGTATTAGATTTCGTGCCCCAGCTGTTGTTTATAAATATACACAGACCGCCACCCCTTGTGTTACCGGAGTCAAATGTTCTATCCTGCCGATGTAGCGTATATCCCGTATGTTATCCATGTCGTCGTTCAGCCACGACTTGGTGAAACATAAGATATTACAGTTGGTAGGATATCCTTGTTCTTAGGTCGTCCATTTTGTTTTCCAATTATTGTACGTTGGCTAATAGGATTGATGGAAGAGGCAGATTACTCGCTCGCCATCGGATCTTTACAAGGCACCCCGACCTACGTCCACAATATCTCCGTCTCTTTCTCATGCGAATGACAGGGATTTAGGCCTTGTCAGGTGTCTGTAGAATATCCTTCGCGTCCGACTCGTTGAAGAACAAATCTTCGTCCAATACGAGGTGAGTAATTGCTGTCCTGATATCCAGAAGCTCTTTTTGGTCATAAGAGACAGTGGCAGAAACATTATGTACAGAATAAATTACAAATAATGCGAAGAAACACACATAATTGCACAATTGTTTAAGGCCATCTCCTCCGGCGCCATCTGCATTTGAAAGCAACATGAAATTCCATAAACTGAAGTTGGCTGATGTTGGGGAACACGAAGCGTATTCTATTGGATCACAATCAATGAGTCACACAATGGCTCATTCTCTAACAAAGGCCTGAGAAATCTATCACACTGACACAGATTATGAAAATCTGAATGGATCAAAAACCTCAGGAGTCAAGAAAGACCAGACCTTGACTTCCACCTTGACCGACCAAGTCACAATTATACTTATTTACTCCTCCCTCCCTCTGACTATAATTCCCCTGGACAATGACACATCCTGGACACATCTCTTTTTCAGCACTCCATTCACACTAGTATGGATTCTCCCTCTGGTATACTGTAGTCATATGCTATATCAGAACTAGGTGTCCAGTCCACAGACATAGCAACAGTATATATGGTTATATTTTGTCTTCTTCTTTACCGCTGGTTCCAGTGTGTCTGACAGATTTTCATGATTTCTATCAGTCTCCATTTTATTGTTCTTGGCTGTGTCTTCACGACTCCGCCATGTTTTCACTCCTGAGCCCTGATGGCCGTGAAATCACAATTCACATGCAGCCTGAGATGGGAATCCTACATTAGTTTGATTAAAAGCAAAAGTGGAACTATCTTTCACTTTCCTGACATTTTTGATGCACTGCCAATTTGCATTGACAGAACTCACCAACTTTTTCTAGGAAGAGACAAAGTCCTGCTTTATGTATACCACTGCCGCCATATCATTCCAGACATCTATGCTCCCATGTCCAGTCTTGGAGGACAATACAATATTCCCATTCTGTTTCCGAAAAGGAGCTTGCTTAGCTTTGGTTGTAAAGTCACCATTTCATTTCTGAGTGGCTTCTTCTGTTGCAGGAATGGTTGCATGCGTCATTAAGTCTGCTTGGCTACCTCGAGGAATGGAGGGCTTTTAAAAGAAGGCATCAGAGGAAACACTTATAATGAGAGTACAAAGAGGGCAGTCAGGGCTATGGAAATGTATCAGTTAGATTGATCGAAGACTAACGTTTTAAACGGCTTTGGTTCTTAAGGAGCATTCTCTTCTCCCACTCATTCTCAATTAGTGCATGCAAATACTGACAAAACCCAACCACTCATTCCACCCAATCCCTGAATGGAAAGTGTGAGAGAGTTTGGGTCCTCTCAGAGAATAATAGCTGCATTTGTGAAGCTCTAAGTATGGGGAACCTGCAGAGTGGATGGACTGACTATATATAGCTATTACCAAAACCACAAAAGAACATTGATATTTACACTTGATCGCAACCAAACGCAAAAAAAAATTTGCACCGATGATACATACAGTATATAAGTTGGTGAAAAACATTCCCCCTTTCAAATCAAATCAAATCAAAATTGATTGGTCACATACACATATTTAGCAGATGTTATTGCGGGTGTAGCGAAATGCTTGTGTTTCTTTTGTAGTGGAATGCTCTTTGCCTGAGAATAAAGTTTCCCCTGGTCAAAAGTCCCTCTAAGACCACCCCCCCCCCCCCCCCCCCCCTGCAGTGTGGGGAGGGAATCCATGGTTGGTTAGAGAGGGCTAGTGTCTGCTAAAGCAATCATTAGGAGATTTCCCACATGGTGAATCAGAGGAGAGACAGACCTCTAACCTGGATATTTCTTTATTTAGCTACTGGCCCAATGAGAAAGGAGAGGTAGATCAGTCTGCACTCTGTAACATGCACATTGCTATTAAACTATATGAAGTAGCTACACCCTACACATTTTACTACACGTAGCAAATATTAGGACTATAGTTCAAATGAGAGCATGGGTCAGACTAGGAATAGAGATGAGGGTTGGTTTGGGTTAGTTGTTTCATATTTCCCTATGGACATGTCTGATCTTAGTAAGTATTAACAATTCATTTTGTGAGAGAAATAGTTGAGGGGAGGGGAACACCTATAATCTATTGAGTCTCATAACAATCTATTCTGAGTTAATAATCAAAAGATATGAACTGCTCTGAGGTAGGGCACACACTATACATGCTACATTTTAGTGTGTTTTTACGTTTTCTTTGAGTGGCAAATAGTTTCCCTGACCAGCAAAAAAGCAGGTAGGTAGACCACCGAAGACACCCTTTCGCTTGGAGCAGTAACTACACAGTACCACAAACTAAGCACCCAGAGAACACTCAGACTGCAGGCACCGCCACAGCCATAGGAAGAGAAAAGAAGCACACACATCCAACTGGAGCTCTGATGATGTAATTGTACTAATGTTAGTCATGTCATCGGGTATAGCACTGACCCGACATTTTCCAGGTTTCCATTCATAACGTTTGCCTGTAATTAGCCTTGCTGCTTAGCGGTCTGACTGAAACTACATTAACTTGAGGTTCTACGGGCAAAACATTCTCCTTCATAACTTCTAAGTGTTTACCCTAGGAAGTACATTCGATGTCAGATCAGAGTAGACCACACTAGAGGGAGGGTCCTCATTATGTGTTTTTAGAAAACGGAATAACTTCAGTTTTTAAATAATAGGAGGCGTATTGTTCCCCTTCAGAAACATTGGATACACTTGAAACATTCTTAAGGTCCATTGGAAACAGTAATTTCTTAATTTTAGTTGCATCTTACTGACAACAGAGCACAACAGAGGATGTTTTACATTCTGCTCTGCTTTGAGTTGGGGCTGGCGTTTGATGTCCCACGTGAGCTCCTCTACTCCTGCTGTGACTGAATTACCCAGAATGTGGCAAAAACACTGTATATCACGGTTGTAAAACACTGACAAAATCATTCTAGAGGAACAATGGCTTTTTAAACAATAATGGCATAATCTACAGTGTTATTTCAACAGGGTTGGAAAGCCTTGAGTGACTGATGGATGTTTGCAGTCATGTACAGTAATGACTCTAGCTATGTACTCACTGACCCCCACTGGGACTTGATATTGTAATCCCAACATAGAAGAGTATTAGGGCCAAAATGGGAATCCACATTCAGAGGCAGGAAGATGTATAGAAGATGCTCTATACTCTGAGCTTGTTGAATTTTTTTTGTCCATTTCATCAGTTTATTCAGATTTTCTCTGACTGTTAGAAACTGTCTGTTGAAGCAGGAAATGCATTTTTTTTGACAGATAATTTGATTCAAGCAGCAAATACTCCTGAAAATCCCTCATTGGGCACACGCAGCTAGCTTTCTGTTATGCGGTCCAATAGCACGACCTGGCTTTTTTCCCAATGTATTGAGTTTAATTTATCATAAGCGAGGTAAAACAAAACAAACACTGATCCAATAACAGCCCACTTCCTCAGAATTTTCTTTAATTCCCACCTGAATATCGCAATACTATAACATGGATCACATTTAATTTCATGAGAGGAAGGTAATCAGATCCTAGCTAGATCTTAGTCTTGGCGTTGATTATCAACAAGATCATCACCTCAGGAGGTGAACTTAATGATGCATAACACTAATCAACAGAAACATCAACTATGAACAGACATGACCGACAATAAAGACAGAACACATCTATCATAGGTGGTGACCATATCAAGGTACACATCCCAGACAGGGCGTCTACTCTACCCTGAAAATGTATCTAAACATTTTACCACATAAATTAATTATTCATGTGAATATGTATCTTTGGAACCTGGTGTTTTGGATGTTATTATCCCAAATTATTGCTGATTATTGCGGATCTGTATGTCCTTGGGAAATTCAACCAGAAAAATAGGCCAAGATATGTGACTCCTCTGCCAAGCCTTAGTGTCACCATATGGCCCACAAACCGTTTCCATTCAAGTGAAATTGTGTTTACCTTGTGGAAGCTCCCATGGAAAACTCTCTTCACTTGATCCTCATTAAACGTGGCTCTTTGGATCTCCCCTCTGGTGTCCTTGTTGTAGAACGTGATTGTTTTGCTGGAAGCTGAAAAGAGGGAACGATGGCTTCAGATGGACCCCTAACCATGCATTACAGGGAGGTCATGCAACGCACATGGAAGCAGACACAGAGAGAGCAGAGAGAGAGAGCGAGAGAGCAGAGAGAGAGAGAGAGAGAGAGAGAGAGAGAGAGAGAGAGAGAGAGAGAGAGAGAGAGAGAGAGAGAGAGAGAGAGAGAGAGAGAGAGAGAGAGAGAGAGAGAGAGAGAGAGGGCTACAGGGAAGATGGCCCTCACAAGTGAACACTTACGTAGGAAGTGAATACTTTGGTACAATACTTAATCTCAAACTTAGGCACACAAGTGAACACGTATGGACTTGTAAATACACACAGAGTGTGAAAAGTCAGTGCCAAACCAAAATGCTTCCCTAGAGGGGATCAGTGGACTGTAGCAGCCTACTAATCATTACACTGGTCTAAGTTTCTAAAGACTGTTATTTGATGCAGTAAGGAGGGGAATCAGTCCATAGCTGTTGGGTAGCTTCAGCTAACCCAGAAGAGAAACAAAGCACGATGGGGGCTTACGGTTGACAGTGACCCCGACCTCAGGGTTGTTGTTGCTGTCGGCAATCTGCCAGATATCAAAGGCCTGGTTGGGGGTGTCAGAAAGAAGCCGGAAGAGCAGGATAATGGTGTAGGATGGAGAAAGACCCTCTGGGTGGATCTCCCTGGCAGGAGGAAAAATACAGGATACAGGTGTCAAGGGATTCTCTTCTGTAAGATGGTCAACTTAATAGATACCAACCCTGAGAATATCTGATCACTAGCTGTATTCATTTGGCATGCAAAATGTTGACTTAAGTCAGTTAATCAGATAATCATAAATCTTTGAGCAACGTGAGGGTCCACTAAAACCTGTTTGAATTAAGATAGCCAATCGTAATCTATAGAGCCTTTGGCCAGGATGAAACACTACATCCTTTGTAACTCCTGGAAAATCAAAGACACAGAGAAACAAGGTTGGCATCTAAAAGCCACACCATAAACCAAAAAAACACACAATATCCACCCTGTCACGTAGACAACAGAACCTGAAAATGGTTGCCAGTTCTACCCCAGCCTCAAAAAATTACTGACATATTGAAAGCATTTTCCGTCCCCACTTTACTGCTTGAAGTGTTTCCATTCGTGCACATGAAGTCAATGGCTTACCCACGCACAAATACGGATCATTAAGGATAAATTAACTAAGCATGCTCGTGCCTAAGAGGTTAGAGCAGAACTCTTGAGCAGCTCAGCATTTGCTTGAATACATTTTAATGGGCCTAATAAAGAGCTGGGCTCTTGACCTCCGGCTGCTTTTGTTGCTCCCTCTATGACATATGTGGCAGAGGGGCCTACCCTGGGAGCTTTATGCTTTGAACACACAGACTGCGTCATTGCGTTTTGGTACAACAGAAGTACATTCATTTCCAATGGAACACTGCGTTTGCCTTACAGTATTGCATTGCAGAGGCAATTGCAGTGCGTTCTGTATGCGTAAACGGGTTGACAGAAATGGTAGCAGAAGGTGAATGTTGAACTTTTGTTGCACACATATCTAGATGATGCTGCATGCTATTTTGCCCAATGACGCAGTCGGTGTGTTCAAAGCATTACACTCTAAACCAAATCATTTTCTCTTCCTAACACCTCATATTCTACAAATTGCAACAACAAACAGGGCTGGCAAAGCGCTCTTGGCACAGGGCTCTCCGAGCAGAGCCTTTGAAGATCCCCAAAAAATATTATGCAGGCTGGCCAGCATTACAGTACGCAGGAGAGGAGCAAGCAACGCGGCTACGGAAACAGCCCGCAAACACGCACACACTCTTACTTTGTGGGTGCAGAGAGGAATGCGTCCTTGTGAAGCCTGTAGCCTATAAAGCTGTTGAAGGATCCAGGTTCCATGGACACGCCATTCATGGCAGCGAAGGTTCTGTCTGTGATGTTGAAGCCCTCAAGCATTCTGAAGCCTGGAGAACACACGTCAGGTCAATACACAATCATGAGAAGATACAAGTCAATGCACAGGATCACAATACTGACATTGATGGTAGGAATGAATTAGGGCTCCGAGTTTTTCTACGTCAGTAAAGAGCTCCTTGCCATAGGTGTTATCAGCAGCTGTCAGTTTATTCAGAATATAGATGTAGCATATACTTACCAGGTGAGGTGAACCCGTTGATGTAGATCAAAGGACAAGCTAAAGAGGGAGAAATAAAACAAAACATGATGAGCTGGAAAAGGCTGGAGGACAACATACAGCTAGCATCAATCTGCTTTCACATGGGTCTTGAGGTACTTTGTAATGTAGATGTAAATCTTACTGGATGTGGCCGTTTCACAGATGAATGTGAGGAGGTTGTCCTGGATCTTGGCGAACGCGTCAAAGTCATCCACAACAAAGACGTGTCTTTCACTTGGCTTGCTGCCAATGTTCCTCAACTCTGCCACGTCCACATCGGCCACACCGACCACAAATACACTGTAACCTGGAGCGAGATGAGTACAAAGACAACCATTATTGTCCATACGACCTGGCCCAATGGCTGATCAGATCTTCCAATTTGACAGTGAAAACCCCAAAAGGAGTAAGTAATGCTGTATCTCAAAACATCTCTAGTCATTTCTATAGTTCTGTAGCTACACTTAGGTTGACTAAATCTTGACTGAAAATATTGTTTACTGACATCTGTAAGGACAAATCCAAACGTTGAACACTTACCAGAGTGTATCAGGTTGGAGGCACTCTTCTGGACCTCGTCTTGTGAGCGACCATCGGTGACGACCACCAGAACCTTAGGCACGTACTTCCTCATGCCATTGTCTGAGGTGAACACCTTCTCACCAACATGCTTTAGAGCAGCACCTGTACACAGAGGGGTAGGACATCAGTCTCCACCTTTAACTATAGACCCATTTAACTCCACCAGCAAGATTAAGACACTGTGATGACATTGGCGGTGAGTGAATGTTTGTAGACCTTTTAATTAACTCAATATTATGCAATGAGTGTTAACGATATCATCCAGTAACATTGACAGTAGCAGTCAGTCAGAGCGGTCTGTAGCTGTACCTGTTTTGGTGTTTCCTCCCATGTAGCGGACGAGCTGCAGTGCAGCCAAGGTCCTTCCCTTGTCTTGGTAAGTGTTCAGTTTGAACTCTGTCTTGGCACTGTCACTGAACTGCACAAAAGACACCTGTTTCCAGAAGACAAAAGAGGGAGGGAGAGAGAGAATAATAAAGCATTGACATGAAGAATACACTGTGAAAGAGGAAAAGAGAAGTGAATATGCTGTAAACATCAAAGAGCTAACACTCAGAGGATAGTCTTCATGGCTACGTACCTGCATTCCGCCAGAGTGGATGACGTCGAAGGCTCCGATCATGCTGAATACAAACTGGATCACTTTGCTGAAGCTCTCGTCTCCGATACTCCAGGAGCCGTCAATCAGGAACACCAGGTCAGCCTTGGCCCCTCTGCACACTGTGGTGCACATAGAGCAAGTCAATGTTAGGTAGGACATGTATAAAGAGTTTATTCTCTGTGTTAGCTTCACTTCTCTTCTCTTCACAGCATGCTGACTTTAAGCCTCTCCTTACCGTCCATAGCAGGGGGGATGGTGGCGGGTGGAGGCGGGGTGGGGGGCTCAGTTGGGGCCTCTGTGGGCTTAATCACTGTAACAAAGACCAGAACATAAACAGTCAAACCATTTGGACTTCACTAGCATTCCATGTTAGCCCCCTGCAAAGGCCCTGAGGTGTTTTCTTACACCCAGAGTGTGATGGGAGGTATAAGTGTGTATTGGTGCTAAACCGTGTTATTGGAAGCTAGCATGCTAGTTAGCTATGGCGTCATAGGATACGGTGCCCTGGGCGGTTTTCACAGTAGAATACTGTACCAAGTTAGCTAGCTGAATAAACTTAGAGTCTATTCCTAGAAAACATTGAACCGCTGTAGTTTACAACAATTATAATGTCTAAAGTAGAAGTTGGGAGAGTTATATTTGAGTGTTTCAGTGAAACGTAAGTGAGGGAGGCCCCGCTCTCTCGCTTTCCCAGATGTTTAGTCAATTTCATTCCGATCTCCTTTGCATTACTGTAGCATTTTCTGTAGCCTGTCAACTATGTGTCTGTCTATCGCTGTTCTCTCCTCTCTGCACAGGCCATACAAACGCTTCACACCACGTGGCTGCTGCCACTCTAATCTGGTGGTCCCTGCGCGCACGACCCATGTGGAGTTCCAGGTCTCCGGCAGCCTCTGGAACTGCCGTTCTGCGGCCAACAAGGCAGAGTTCATCTCAGCCTATGCTACCCTCCAGTCCCTCGACTTCTTGGCGCTGACGGAAACATGGATTACCACAGAAAACACTGCTACTCCTACTGCTCTTTCCTCGTCTGATCATGTGTTCTCGCATACCCCAGGAGCATCTGGTCAGCGCGGCGGTAGCATAGGAATCCTCATCTCTCCCAAGTGGACATTCTCTCTTTTCCCCCTGACACATCTGTCTATCTCCTCATTTGAATTCCATGCTGTTGTGGTATCTAAGGAATTTATGACTTTGCTAATGGTTGCAAATGGTCTTAGAGGATGTTGACTAAGCTTAAAGGGAGCATCTGGAGAGTAGTTCTATAGGGGCACCCTAAAGCCGAGGAAGTCTGTTAGGTGGTCCTGGGATTGGTCTGTAGGGGAAAACACCCATATTATGTTACATAGGGCATAGGATAAATACCACGGTTAAAACAAAGGACGGGGAGAATAACATATTACAGATTGGAGCCGGTTATTCTCCAGATATCGGCAGATATCTGTAAATTGGCGCTGAGATCTTCAAATGTATTAAAGAATTATAATCGAGGACAGTGTCAGCGGATTCCCTTGTTCTCACAGCATAATTAGCATTGTTTTCTCGACACCACATAATGGCGACGAGATATTGGTCGTGTTGCGTCTTTTCTCAGCGTTCCACTCATGGGCGCCGAGCTGACTCTCGCTCCAGAGTCCGGCAGATAAGGGTGAGTTTTCTCACTACTTTGGGCACTGGTTAGTTTATGTGTCTGTGTGTGTGCGTTGAATGAATGCACCGTTAAGAACTTGCGTGTATGCCTTGCTGTTATTTGCTGTGGGATAAGAGTCTGTTCTAAATTTCTAAATGTGTTTGCGCTGGTAACAACGCAAACAGGGGGGAGTGTCTATAGGGATATTTTGCTTGAATAAAATTCAAAAAGAATACAATGAAGGAAAGGCCAGGAACTAAGGAAAATGTATAGAAATTAGAACATCGCGAATCTATGGAAGCCCTCAAACGAGGCGATCATTAGGATGGTCCGAAAATCCTAAAAGCGCATTAGGTGAATTTAGGTCAGTCCCGGGGACTGGAGGTTGTGGTATATACATTCAGTTGCAAGTTACCGCTCAACTTATAGTTGACGAACTATATGTTTGATGTAACCGCTCATTGAATATCCGCGGAACTCGAGGTAGCAAAAATGTAGAAACAAAGGAAAAATGGTGCGATGGTAGTAGCATGCTTAGGGGTCCATAGGAACGGAAATAAGCCTCTTAAATTGTATGTGTGTGTGTGTAGAAGAGAGTAGGATTTGTGTTCTGTGTTTTGTGTTGGTTTGTGAGCTCTGTTAAGTGTTACTGTTTGTCTATGGGGGGAAAGAGAGGAGGTACAGCGGGACTGTCTACTTTCTGTTGTTTAGGCTTGGAGAGAGCTGCTTGAGAGCTCCCTCCACTCTGAAATCACACTGGTGAATGTACTACGCATGCGTGTGATTTTATGAGTTTAGAGTTACGTAGAGCAAATGTGCCACCCCTCTGCCTGCACTGAGTTGCTGGGAGACGTAGACTCAGAGCAGACAGAGAGGGGGAGATTTAAACACGAATAGAGTGTTCTGTTTGTTAAATCGGCTGTTGCTTAACGATGAAACTATTTGATTGAGATCTATTGAATTGATAAATGAGAGATATGTTGACGGATTATTTTTTTAAATAATTAAATAAATAAATAAAATAAAATGTTATTGAGCTATTTATACTATTCCTGAATTAAGCTGTTTGCTTATTTCTTAGAGCGAATGTGAACAGAGGGGTATTGAATGGTTGAAATAACCCAGTGAGTGCATAAACTACTAAATTATTGTCTGTTCTTTGTTCTTCTGTGATATGAGAGACGATGAGAAGGAGGAGACAGAGAGAGAGAGGAAGTGCTGACGAGTGCATCATGCGACAGAGTGTGCTGCAACGGATCAAGTCAAATCAAGGCTAGTACTGTTCTATTCACAAAACGTACCTTCCCATAGAGGATATTTTGGGTGCCTAGCATATTTGATGTTATGACAATTTGACAAGGACTTGGCAACAGACTGATCAATTGATGTAATTACGTTTTTGTGCATGAGTGGGTTTGATTAGAGTTGAGTGGGGAAATCGAGCACTGACATTATTCTGTAAAATTAAGGTAATTGGGTGCTTATTAAGCAATGGGGTTTGTGAGTGCTGTAGTGTTGCAGGATTAGAGGTCTTTCTTTTTTGGATTGCTCTGAAGTTGACTACTTTCATTTACTTTTCCTGATCGGATGTGGTAAGATTGCCACTAATCAATAATTTGGTAAAATAAAATAAAATAAATTGATGAATAAATTAATTGATTAATTAATTAATTTGGGGAAGAAAAAAAAAAGAGGGAAACTATAGGCTACATAGTCTAAAATAATGAAATAATTCACAATAAAGGAATATAAAAGAGTTGTTACAAGGGGGAAAAAGGACATCAAAACTATGAAAGTAATTCCTCCTGTTGATGTAGTAGAAAATAGTAATCCTTTAGTTAATGGTATTGCAAGGTTATCGGGAAAAGGGAATAAACGTTGGCGTGACATTGAACAATCATGGCTAGTGGAAGGGATTATTAACCCTGACGTCATCAACATGATGAAAATGATTGAATAATAGAGAGAGGAAAAGCAGAAACGACCATAAAGATGAATCCAAAACTCCAAAAGTAGGAAGAAAACGAGATGTCTGGAATCTAAGGGTGGAGTGAGGTTCAGGAAGATGGAACTTGAAGATGAAGAAGATGATGATGATGATGATGATGAGAGTGATAGAGAAGAGATCATGGGTGGATATGACTCTGTGATCAGAAGGATGTTGGCAAGAGAGGAAAGAAGGGGTGATGGATGTTTGAAGGAAGAAGAAGGATACTAGAGATTCGATCTCTGATGAAAGTGAAGATGGAGAAAGCGATGAAGATTTGGAGATTAAAGGTGCTTTATGTTAAGGAGGATTTTATCCTACAATGATTAGCACAGAAGAAATAGAAAGAGATATAGACCGATGCGTATTATGCCTGGATAAGGGAATAATTTAGAAGAAGTAAAAGAACTGGAAGAACAACTCAAGAAGCTGAAGATACAGAAGAGAAAAAACTGCTGAGAAAAGGATCCCAAGAATTGGAGAAGAAGTATACATTGAGGACAAGGAAAGAGAGCACCAGTAAGAAGATGATGCCAGATGATATTTCGAGGATAGAACTAGAATATAAGCCTTTGAAGAATACCGATATGTCAGATATACTTCAGAAGCTGTCTACTCTTCAAGATGGAGCATATCCTTGGATTTCAAAAATTGGAAGAAATTATGGTGGGAACATAGTCTGCCATAGGAGACATTAAGATACTTTTGGCTAATCTCCTTGGGATTCCAGATATGGAAGACATTTTTCAGAGAGCGGGACTTAATAGATATGTGGGGACTGAGGTGAATGACCCTGAATTGTTGGCTGCAAGTGGAGATCGGCTGTGGAGAGCACTGAAAGATATGTTTCCAACAAATGTGCATCCTGACAACATTCTGATTGATCCACTAGGACAACAAGAAAATCTGAGAGCCTATGTGTCAAGAGTTCATCAAGTGTGGAGAAATATTATTGGAAATGATCCAGATGTGAGTCAAATTGAGAAGTCAATTTTGAGAGCTAAACTGCAGATGGGACTGCCCTCACAAGTAAGGAGCAAACTGGCAGAGGTGGTTGGACTTGGAAGCATGACAAAATGTGTCTATAGAGATCATATAGCCCATCAAGTGGATCTGTAGAGGAAGAAGGAACACAACTAGAAAGAACAGGACCAAGAAACTCTCAGAAAACTTGATGAAATACAACTGGGGGAGAATAAGAAGGAGAAAGAAAAGCTTTGGTTATGAAGAATCAGTGTGCACCAAATCAACAATCACTGCCACAGCTTCAACTGAACAAGGTCAAATGCAATTGTACCAGCCACAACTAGTGGTACAAGCTGTTTCATATCCATAGCCAGTTTCTGGAAAGACAAAGAATTGGAGAGGAAGAGGACGAGAAGGCTTAGAAAGAGGAAGAGGAGGAAGATTTAAGCCATACTTCCAGCAATCTTGAGAAGTGTGTTATGATTGTGGACAGGTTGGTGAATTTGCCTGTGAGTGTAATGGGCCAGAAGGAAACACAAGAGGGAATTTCAGAGGAAGATACAGGAGCAAGTGAAGATCATCTGGAGGACAGGGGAACCCTTATAGGGGCAAGGAGCAAGGATTCTAGGGGTGCCTAGAAGATCCGAAAGGGGGGTGTCAGCTGGTAGCACCAGTTAGGGGAAAAAGATCCAACAATTGAGGTGAAAATAAACAACTGACCATGG